GAGCTACTCTTTGTGCATTAAAATCACCCATTATATCTCTTCCATGACTGCTCCCCAGAGTGTACTGTAACTGTTCCCTCTCTGGCCTGCCCCCTTACCTGTAGGCAGAGTCCATAATGTACAGGAGCTAGAGATTGTCAACATGTGTCCCTAGCATCTAACATAGTACCGGATACTTAAGAGGAACACAATAATACTGAGTAAATTAAGTAGATGAATGTAAGCATTTTGAGACATGTGCTTGAATCTTACATAGTCTTAAGCAGTCATTTTTTGTGGGGTTTTTTTGTTTGTTTGTTTTTTGTTTTTTGGGGTTTTTTTGGTACTTGCCTCAATGTTAACATACAGACCATGCAATTAAATGATTAGTTTGGGATATTCATTCATTGTTCAATAGGTATTTTCCGAGAATCTGCCCTATACCAGTCACTATTCTAGCCACTGTGTTACAGCTATGAATTCAATTTTAAAAAATCTTCCTTCATGGAGCTGACATTCTAATGTCTAATGAGATGCTGGGAGACAGCACATACTCTTAAAAGCACATGGCTATTGCGATGTTAAGCATCCTGGAAGAAAAAATATGGAGAAGTAATAGAAAATTCTATGAGTAGGTGTGTAATATTAAAATGATAATATAAATGATCCAAAATGCATGTCTATATTAATGAAATATGATATTGTCTTTAGTGTTTTGCAGGTTTTATCCATATCAAGAACATGTGACCATTGGGAATAGAAGGTGAGAAAAGGTTAAATTAGAGGAGAGAGCTGAAATCAATATCCTTGTCACTTAGTTTTGGGAGAGAAGAAAGTTGAACTGACAAATAATGAAACCTTGGGACTGTATTCCTAGGATGAAAAGAACTGAAACATTGTCTAAGAAGTCAGCATTTTCTGATAAATTATGAACGTTAGTATGGAATTATCCTGGGTGGTGCTAAAACCAAAATTTTCTACACATTGAGAAGTGGGATTGGAAAAGCAATGAAAACACTGCTCCCACTTAACTGCAAAGAATTACATATCTTAGCAATGCTTACCTCAATATGTTGTTTTCTAAAACATTCAACTATTTTATTTCCAGACTAGGTAAGTAGGAATCAACAATAGATTAAAGTATAAAAAAAAAATGGTTCTCAGTTTTGACCTGACTCCGAACTTCCCTTCACTCTCCTGCCATGGAGAGAGCTTCTTGAGAAGTTCTATCAAACTGTGACCCAGGTGAGGCGGGCTGTTCAGTCACATCCTATGGAAAGTCCTTGAACATTCATCCACCTGTGGCTGCCATAGGGCAGAAGGGAGGTGAGACAGAACGAGAGCTGCATTTCTCATTGACCAGCAGCATCAGCAACCCTGGGAGATTGTCAGAAATGCACGGTCTCAGGCACCATGCCACAACCACTGGACAAGAGCCTCACATAATTTACATGCCTGTTCACAGATGCAATTGCTGGTCGACAGCTGCGATCCTCAACCTGGTCTGCATATTAGAATTACCTGGGAAATTGTTTAAATCCCAGTAATCTAGCCGCATACTTTTCTATTGTGATTTCATTAGAATAACCTGTATGTCTCAGAACTGTCATTCGTGCATCATTTCCCAGAACTACTAAATCAGTACTCCAGGTGTGAGACCCAGAAATCTGCTGCTCTGAGACACATAGCCATTGATTCCGATATATGCCAAGGATGCGTGGCTTAGAGGAAAACAATGAATTCCACTGCAGAAAATACATTTTCACTATACATATTGCTTGAATCAATATACAAAATTGGAATACTTTTGTGCAAATATATATGCATATATGTACATATGTATAGTGATAATATATATGTACTCATATACAGTAAGTAGAGCAAATAGACTCCTATACATTTAAGTCTGTTTTTTTTTTTTAGTCCATTTTCCAATACTCAATCCAACTTAAGTTCTTTATCTTTGTCAGTATTGTGGATATCTTTTGCCATGAACATGATATATTAACTTTCTTTTAAACTAATTTCAATATAAGTGGCATTGAATTTATATATACTTTTATTTGATTGTCTCCTGAGAGTATGTCAACTCCTCTAAGAAAGATGTACATATTACAGATACTAAACTCCAGTACTGATTATCAGTATAGTAGAGTGCTTTTTCTGCCAGCAGTGATCAGAATTAGCTTGATGCAAAGACTTGAGCACCAACTCTTTCAGAACCTAAAAGAACAAAGTATTTTCTTGTTTCAAACAGTGGTGGCTATGGAATTTACAAAATCATTTTTTTTTTGAGTGAGCCAAGAGTTAAACTAGTCTGAAGGTAATGTAATTAAGCTGTACTATCTGAACACTCATCTTAAAATATTCATGAGTATCACACCAAATACTGGAAAAAGTTACCACATGCAAAGTGATAAAGTATAAAGATCATGGCAGCCTGATCTGAGCCTGTGGTATGCCCTTAGCCCAGTTACACACCCTTCCCCTGCCTGCATCTCCTCATTTGGAAAATTAGGGTAAGTAACCTCCATGTTATTATTTTGACTTGATTATATGATCATGCATACAATATTTGACTTGATTATATGTTCTTGCTGTTTGGGATTTAGCAGGCCTGTTAGACACTGCCTCTCCCATTTTTTGTTTGTTTGTTTTAATTGAAAATACCATATACTGAGGAAAAGGTTATAAATCTTAAGGCAACTTTTATAAAGTTATCACAGATTTTTTTGGTTTACAGTTTGAAACTGCCTACTCTAAGTGAGGTTACCTCATAAGACATTTTCTGATCTCACAGAAGGAATAAATTACCATCAAGTGGATTAAAAAATGGGATTCAATACAGAACTAGAGGTAAGGTGACACCTAAGAAAAATATAAGTGGAAAAAAAGGAAGCCTAATTGAGGAGGCAGGTGCTACTGAATATAAATAGCTCCTAATTTTCAATTTTACCCAAGATTTTCTCCATTCCCTTTTTCAGTCTATATAATGCAAATTAAGACAACAATTGCAGTGATAAGCCCTTTAAGAAATTTTAGATGTATCGTTTTCAATAAGAACTACAATTGTCTTCATTTTTAACCACAAATATTTCATTATACGTTACACATATTCTTGAATGGTCAACACATCAAGTAAACTACATTCCCTAAAAGTTCATTAGGTAGGATACCACCATCAATTTTTAACTTGGCAAAAGAATAGTCTAACATACAGAGATGTTTTCAGTAATGGACGTGTTTGTTACTAGCACTAGCAAATGTGGTGCTATTTGGTTAATGTTGCCTTTTCCTGTTAATCGAAGTTGCTTAGAAAAAGATGACTCCAAAGACAGTGACAGTAACTGTAGTCGACACACCCTTTTCTCACATATCTTTGATTCAGTTGAGAAACTACCCCCAGAGAAAAGAGATAGAAGTCTCAGTGCAACAGAGGTAATAAATGTCTTCAGGGTTTGGCTAAAACCATGTAGACAACCAGCAAGTGCATGATAGCACCTCTGGGTATCCTAATAATAGTTTATTCCCATGGAGGAAGCCATAACATCAACATCATCCTAAAAAGCTCCCCTGAAAACTTCAGAAAGATAGCCAATTAATATAAACCATATTCTAACATCGTGATGAAATGTCCCATCTCAGGATACCCATATAGGAGGGAAAGCAGAATCAACATTTCATGAAATATGAGTGCTCATCCTATAAACCACATTTAAGATCGCTTTATAAACCTTTCCACAAAAGCAGCTAGATATTTACACAGTGCTTTAGCACAACAGATTAATGATTGAAATTCAATTTGTGTAAGTGTAAATGTTATAATGATATATGTTTATATTTTAAAGGACATTTGTTTCATTATTTGAATAGCATTTTGAAGTATAAGCACTGCATAATAAAGAAGTAAGTGGGTGCAATTATTCACTCACATGCTAAGAGGGCTAGCAAATCAATCAGTCATTTATAATCATAGTGATAGAAGTATTTTATAATTCTTGATTACATAGAAATGTATCATAATGTGGGAGAAAACCATCAGTTTATATTTATATGTGCAGAGTAAAGTAGAAAAAAAAGTTTAGATTTTTCGATCTAACTTTGGAAAAAAGTTGGTTCCATTCTATGTAGATATTTTTAACAAACTTATAAGGAAAATGGGCTCAGAAGAAATAATGTGGACTGGTTTATTACCTAAATTATCTAATCAACCTAAACTATATATAATGCAAGCTTTTCCTCACTTCACTCTAGTTGGATAACAAAGTGCAACTTGAGACATAAAATCCAAGATTTAATAAACATATAAAATTAATCTCTTATTGACAAACTCTCCAGTCTAAAACAAGCATTTCAGAAAGAATTTTACTTTCTTTTTTATTCATCTGTCATAAAATAAATCCATCTCTCTTGTATAAGAACTATAAATCATACCAAAGGTATATTAACTGTTTTTGGTTTATTCTTCTTAATAGCTACATCAGTAACCTTATCATTTAAATTTTAATTCCTAAATGGACACTATTAAAACACTCAAGGATTTAATCCTAAATCCTGAAACCCAGAGGAAGAGCAGGAACGATGTTAAAAGTAGTAAGCTGCACACAATTTCAACTCTCATTTGCCAATTTTCTGTCCATCTAATTTAACTTTCAAGGTTTTAGACGCGGATATTATACATATGATATGACATCAACAAAACCCTTCAATCCAAATCAAGTTACCTTGGCACTGGACAGTTCTCTAGATAATGAAAAAGGTAAAATGAGAAATTAACTTTTTTTTTTATAGTGGCTTTTATTTTCTCCTGATGGAAGTCAAGTGCTATTATTTAAAAAGAAATCGGTCTGCAATATCATTATCCAAACGCAGGCTTTCATTCTAGGACACTTGCTTATGAACTGAGCCTTTTCCTGAGATAAACAGTCACTTGCTGCAGTGCAGAATGTCAGTTTAGTCAGTAAGAACTTTCAATGCAGAAATCCGGCGCGATGCAGTCACCCACATCAAGCAGCACTTACCTTCATGGAAATATGCTCTGTGAAGAGGTGAGAAATCAGTCAAATAAACCCTGAATGGGCTGGGGAGATCGAAGTTTTCAATCAACACCCTCCAAGTAGCTTCATGCTGTGCTTCTTTTTCCTGTTTATGTTGAGCCCCTCACTGTCTAAGAGAACAAAAAATAATAATAAAAATAAATAAATATAAATATATATGCACGCTGAAATCCTCGGAGGTTCTGGGGAGTGAATGAGGACTAAGTGATGCTTCTTAGCGGTAATCCTCCGTGAGGCGAGCGTGGTGCATTTGGTAGCTCCCTAACCGCTGTGATAGGCGCCTGCCAGGTCCCGGAGCTGGAGATAATCAGTGACCTGATTAGCAGAGAACACTCCCCGTGCACACGCGGACGGTCCGTGGGTCTCCTGGGAATGGGAATAGGCTCAAGGCCACTTGGGAATCTTGTCTTTTCCAGCCTAATGGATGAACTACAATTATGACTATGATTTGCACGATTAGCCACGGTGTTAAGCCATGAGAGGACTTAAACAAATGCGCTTTCCCCTGCTGTTTCGCCAGGTGCATTCGTGTTGTGTATCGGGTACAGTAAAACAATTAACAGACTGATAGAACTGATTTGCAAGACAAGCCTAAACTGAAAAATGTTTAAAGCGACATGACAAAAGAGATAGCTGTGTTAGTTTTTGCCCTGAGCCTGGTACATACTTCAACCTTTGTCTAAGTACAATGAATTGATAGGTTTATCACAGCCTCCAGAGTGCAGCTCTCTGATTTATATCTATATCTATCTATATCTATATCTACATCTACATCTACATCTATCTATCTATCTATCTATCTATCTATCTATCTATCTATCTATCTAAAAGGAGTATTCATGCTAAATTAGCATGTTTGGGAGTTTGTTACAAAGGACTCCAGCCAAGATGTGGAACATGCAGCACTGCTTGTGTAGTTTTGCAAATAGCATTTTAAATGATCATTGCACTTGCAAAAATGTTTCTATAAGTCTATTAACCTGAGTAACATAGGGGGTTCCATTACGCCTTACTGAATTATCGCTTCTATTATCTGTCAAAATACTGCTTTTCTAAAACAAAAACAAGCAAGGGTATGAGAGAATCAAATTGTCAAACATTTGAAATGTAGTTGTGTGCCATGAATCATCTGCTAAAACCCACTCACGGAACACCTGACCATCTTTCATAAAAAGTTATCACTTCTCCAAAGAGAGACAGTTCTATCAAAAAGGTCAGGTAACTAAATGCTAAAGCCCCAAAGGTTGATTTTTGACAGATCTCAATTATATAGGAGGCAAGTATTCAAATAACATAAAATGAGCACATGAAAAAAATCATTTGCATGTCTTGAGGGGGAGACAAATCTCATTGCTGGGGAGAAAGCTAACTAGAGTCCTCTCACAATGGTACTGCTCGATATGTTCAGCATTTCTGTTTTTCCAAGGAGGTCTCAGTTGGGACATATGGCATTCCCTTGTGTGTGTGTGTGTGTGTGTGTGAGAGAGAGAGAGAGAGAGAGAGAGGCTATATTTGCATTATAATATTTTAGTATTTACATATACTTTAGAAAAACCCCAAATTTCAATAAAGTGATGCATAAAACATAATGGAGAATTTGTTTGCCATATATACTCCCAAGTAAATTTCATTAAAAAAATTAATTAAAATATAAGGTCTTTGATAGAACTTCTTAGACACAGTAAAAAGTCAGTGTAACTGATTTGCTATGACAGGGCAGACTCTTGAACTTGAAACAGGTTACACACCCTTGAAAATCTCCAGGAGGACTGATCCCGAGTCCCCTACAGCGGAGGTCTCTTGCTCCCTCAGCTGGTGGAGGGTGAGAGCTGAGGTGAAGAAACCCAACCAATACATCTCAGGAGAAGGCGAGTAGCCTCTGCTGTGCAGCAGGAAACTTGTCACCCAATTATAGACTGACATCAGAGTGTTCTACTAGAAAAGAGGCTGCTTCGATTAAAATTGATGCACATACATAAATTGTAAATAAACAGTACAGGAAATGTAACTGCTAATTTCTTCTGCAATGATCCTGACTAGTTTTTAACAGAGTGCTTGTAAGTGAAAATCAGATGGATTTCCAGGGCCCTGATGTTTAGTGGTCATGCAATTGAAGCACTCTGTCATTCTAAGAGTCTTAAACAGGGACCTCTTTTTAAAACATCTTAAAACCCTCAGACAGTGTTTATTTTCTTCAAGCTTGTCCACTAGTGCCTATCATCACTGACTAAAATAAGGGCACTCTAAGTTAAGCTAGCTTTGGGCCATAGTGGACAGTTTCTACCTGGAAAACCCTTTGCACAGATGATATTTCCAAACCACTAGGCTTGTTGTTCCCATAGGATCCAAGGATGTTTCACTGTAAACATTTTCTACAGAGAGTATGTGTGGCTCTGCTGTGTGAGTTTGTGTGTGTTTAACCTATAGTAAACAAATGACTTTATGTGGAAGCACACTTATGAGTAACAAAGCAAAATGACACTACATTGTGGAGAGAGTAAAGGATACAAAGTGATAACTATCGACACTATATATTAAATGCTTGCTGTACGCCAAATATTTGGTACATATTTCAGCTTTAGGTATTGTCCAGGAAATCCTTAAAACCATTAAGCAGGCATTATTATATATTTTTTAAATTTTATTAATTAATCTAGGGCTGTGAGAAGTGAAGTAAAATCTACCAATGCTGGATAACCAGTACAGAGCAAATCCAGAATTAAACCTCAGGTCATTTTATCTGCAACATCTTGATGTTTAGAAATTCCCAAACATTAAAAACAACAACAAAAAATACCTGCTTTCAAAAACATAGGAAAATTGTCTCATTTTTACGACTTGCAAAACACATTTTTATATCCTATAAAAATTTGCTTTGTTACTGTAAAATATTATATTGTGACAGTTTAGCTAGAATAAATAGTTATACATATTTGAGCAAAAAAAAGTTCAACAAAAATAAACTTTAGCCTAAAAAAAATAAATGCAATCTAGAATTTCCAAATGATGTAATTTCATTAGCACAAATTGGTCAATTTCAAAAGATTTTATCTCTTGTGCAATTCATTCTCCTTTTTTCTCAAAAATAGTAATTCCTGTATGTTTTTTAAACAGGAAAATGACTCTACTCTAGTATATGGCTACCTAAAGAACATTTACTAGAAATATATTGGGCCAAAATGATGATTATTTCTGATATCTCAGTTCTCAAAGAGAAGTAAAGTAATACCAAAGCTCAAGAGAACTGCTTGACAGAGAGAATAAGAGAGAAAAAGAGAACAAACTCTAGAGCAGACACATCCAGTTCTAGTTTGTTCATGTTTTATCTAGAAGTTTCTTAAACCTCACATGAATCCTACCATTTCATAAAGTGTTGCGATGCTCAGACACATTCTTAATATTACACAGAAACATTGTGACCATGCTTTTCAAGGATTCTAATAAAAATTCTATATCTTAAAATCATGATGGGAATGCAAATTAAGTCAGCCCTTAAACTCTGCCAAGAAATGTCCCACCTATTATCTCACTAGATTATTACAGGAATCTCGTGAAATAGGTTATGGTAAGTATTGTACTCATATTTTAGTGGTGGGAAATGAGGAATGCAAAGAGCAGGTGATTGTCCTTTGGTCTTTGATACTTAGTGGAAAACCTGATGCTCTCCGTTCCAGACAGGGCATCTTTCTCCTCACCATGTCTAACGATTATGTTTGTCTGAGTCATGGTGTCACCAATGAAGAATCCCAATGGGTATCTAAATGGAAGCCTCTCTTTCTTCATTTACTAAGTTGTTCTAAAAAATTGAAAACTATAATTGTGATGTAATAAAAGAAAAATTACTCTGAGCTGGTAGGAAGCTTGCGATTTATATATACAGGAACTTCTCCACTTAGATTTTTCACAGATTTTTCTTCATCTTGACTATCGTCATAGGAAGACAATGGTTTAGATGTTGACCTTATGACTCTTAAATAATCTCATCTTGCTTCTCCATAAACTTCAGATTCAAATATTACCTCTCTGCATCTTTTCTTGTGGTGATTTAATTATCAGGAGAGATGAAATCCCACATGCGTGTTACTTGTTTTACACACACACACAGAAACGCGCACACACACACACATACAGAGGCAGCCTAGCAAAGTAATAACACGTTGATGTTTCATCAGCAGTATCGAGCTAACTAACACAGAAATGTATGCTGAATTCTGATAGATTTTCATATGTTATACATATCTCTATCTACGTGTAACTCATGGAAGTGGAATGACTGACTTTTTTAGCCTTTAAGGAAATGTTTTATGTTTTTGAGGATAGCTTCATATATACTTACGAATTTGAGATACTATGAACTTTTAAAAATAAAGCTAGACTGGATATCAAAAAAGCTCAGACTATTGTCAAAATTCCGGCACTAACTAGCTTTATAACCTTGAGCCACTTAAAAAGTTTCCACTTAATTTCATTGGAAAATGTGAGAAAATTAGACAATATTATCGCTGAGATTTCAGTCAGCTATAAAATTATGCTATATACTTGACTAATAATTTGCAATATCCTTTCTAGTTAGTTCAGAATCAGGCAGGAAAAAAAAATTGTATACAGTTACTCTTTTTCCCCTCTCTCCCACCCTGTAATGCCCCGAAAAGTTTTATTTTATTCTATAAATGATATTATGGTAAACATATTCTGTTTATATAGTTCAAATCATTTAAGAACCAGCCAGGAATCATTGATTTAGAAATCGCACATAGAATAGATGAAAAAAAAATTCGCTAAGGTCAAGAATATTATGTAATTGTTTTTAGTAACTATAAGGCATTCCTTTAAAGGGGCATAGTTGTTACATTACATCTAGAATGAATCCCTAGCCTTTTTCTTTATTGTCCTGGTCAGTTAAAAAAGGAAGGTAATTTAATTAAAATGATTGAGAATTAACTTAAACTAGGGAGCATAATTGAAAAATGAATATATATTAATATATTTTGTAGTTTTAAAGCCGCAATTCCACTTTAGTAGGCAGTTACTTTAAAATAACCAAAAAGTGCAATGCATAATTAAAATAAAAGAACTGGCTTTCAGTACACATAATTGCTTGGAATTTTAC